CAGGACTTGTAATATGGTTATATATCACCATATTTCGTACAGAGAATGATGAGGAAACATATCCAACATATCTTCATTTTTGGCATTCAACTGAAGATATCAATCCATATACTTACTAGTTTGGCTCTAGTTCTAGTGCCTAAGTTTTAGAGTGTCCTTAAGGATTATCCTAGATTGAATTTCTTGTAACCCAAGCATAGGGGAGAAATATCAATTCGGAAAGTGAACTTACACGATCCTTAAGCAATCCAAGTACTTGATTATCACCCCCTACGTGATTTACCCCAACACATGTTTGGTTGATCTGCGAGCTCGGTGTTGCGCCGACCTCGTTGGATCGAGGTCGCCCTCGGATGGGGTTCCATATTTCGTTGATCTGTTGTCTTGCGTTGCGACCCGACCTCGTTCATCGAGGTCGGCCTCGGCTGGAACTTTTGTACTAAGTGCTGATATAGTTTTGACGTCTTTCAGTTGGAACTACCGGCTGGAATTGAACATCAATGTTGATTTTGAATCTTTGGAAGTTGATCCTGGATTGAGAAAAAAATTGTTGATTTTCATCATAATGTTCAGGATAGATGTACGCCGTAGACTATTTGAGATGTATTTAAAAGTTTGTTACACTTTCTTCTTTAATAAGTTTTTCTTTTAAAAATGATCAATTACTCTTACGTTTTCTACTCCCTCTGTGTATAGAATGAATATTGATTGTTGTGGTTTAGAAGCCTCCTTATAAGGAGTATATATAGGGAAAATCCGGGTCTGGCCCTCTAATATGGGCCTGACAGACCCGGTTACATAAATGGACTGATAGTATAAAAAACTAATCTAGAACATCTTGATAATAATAATGTACAATAATATGAATCCGCTAAACGTGTGTGGGCCGCTGTCCAGGCCCAGTAGTCGGCATACCGGGGGATCGGGGTCCATATACTCCATCAGGAGTCCCCCACTCCCTGAGTCGAGAGTACTCGAGGCGAAAGGGAGTAATCCAAACTGTATCTGCAACGTTCTTCTGTCTTTGATTCCTTCCTCTCCGGCCGGGGACCACCACCCTTGTCCATGATGGGGAGGTGCCTCGTTAAAAACCTTTACTAGGAAAAAACCCAGTGGGAAAAAATCCTAATAAAGGGAAAAAGAGTACACCTAACGCCCCCAACATGAAACAAGGAAGGTAGGCCCCCTCCAGCATAATCACTTTTGTGTAGCTCAACCTGTCTTCATCTGACTTAGCTCTCGTTCCTACTCATGCGTGATATCTGCTGCTCATCCAGAAAATCTGACCTCTCAATCCCCCAGTCCCCCACTCCTTGAGGCGAGTGGAGACGAGGTTAAAAATGAGTAAAGTCATTTTCGTACCTACACATTTAAAATGCATATAAAATTTTTCCTTGGGGTTTATGTTTCCGATCGGGAGTTCGTCACTTGAAAAAAGTGGAAATGTGAATTGTCGATGTAATGATAAAATACTTAGTAGAGTGGATGCGTGAGCCATTCGTACGCAACGGTCGCCATTCTTGGAATGACTAAGACCGGTCTTCATGCCCGACTTGGTCGGGGCTTTGTGCCTGACTTGGTCAGGGCTTTGTGCCTGAGAGTCAGGGCTTTAAATCCTAGTGATGGGTCTCAAGCCACACTCTACTAGGCATTTGATCATAAGTACGTGATAGTGTGACATTCACCCGACAAAAATATTGATTAATAAATATAAATAATATTAAAATTAAAGATGCTTATCTTTTTGAAGTGGGCTGAAATTAATGGGCTGAGATTGACTGCCGTGGAATTGTGACCAGTTGACGTAATTGACCAAAAATGTGAATTCATCTCACATGGTTGACCGGGCCACATTTCCTTGTGTGCCACTAAGTGTCAAGCAGCAGCATCTTATCTTATCATTTCAAACGGAAGAGAAACAACACCTTGGCTAGTGAAGGAGCCCACATTTGGGAGTTCACTGTGAAGACGCCCATGAACTTCCAGTTTGACCCCACGGTGGAGCCACGACAGTAGATACCTTCTCCGGCGAAGGGGGGGGGGGGGGGGGTGGACCTTGGTCGCTGTTCCGTCGGACAATCCCTCAGAAATCAATAATGGAGGAGGCGCCCTCTGCCGGAGTTGCTGGACGAGAAAGAACAACCCCGCCTGGCCGCTACTATCCGGCGAGTGTGGTAACGGCGTCGGAGATTCCACGCACAACTCTAGCGGCCATTAATGGCGGATCTTTGGCCCAAACTCCAGCAACCGAGGCAAGTGACAATGAAGATGACTGTCGTAGACCTGGATTCGGCCTTCGAGCTGTGATGGCGACTGGAGTCGTGACAGAGCGGCCAAGAACTGGGCGGCGTTGTGACTCTGGTGGAGGAACGAGCGGAGAACGGGGGTGTTGCTACGAAGCTGGAGGCCAGATCGAGCTCCCGTTGGCATCGTCGTGAGGTGAGGTCCGGCCGAGGAGCTGAGCTAGCAAGCATGCCTTTTCCAGATCTAGAAGTTCCAGATCCCTATCAGCTATAGCAGGCGGTTCAGCTGGAAGTGGTGCCCAGCCGGCGGCAACGGTTCTAGACCAGAAGAAGAGCAACACCACCTGGGACACAGCTGTGGGATGATGGTTGCTCCGGCCCGGTCTGGGAAATCCCAGATCTCCAATTCCCGATCTGTTCTTCCAGCCCAGTTTCTTGGTTGTTTTTTTGTGATGTGGGTGAATTTTTGGTTGTTTTGGGGAGGTTTTCTCACTTGATTGTGTTCAACCTCTCAACGAGAGCACCATTGTTGGATAATTGATACCCATATTCTATAACTAGTGAGAGTTTGAACAAGAGTGGAGAAGAAATGATGAAGAAGATGAATAGTGTATAGAATGAATATTGATTGTTGTGGTTTAGAAGCCTCCTTATAAGGAGTATATATAGGGAAAATCCGGGTCTGGCCCTCTAATATGGGCCTGACAGACCCGGTTACATAAATGGACTGATAGTATAAAAAACTAATCTAGAACATCTTGATAATAATAATGTACAATAATATGAATCCGCTAAACGTGTGTGGGCCGCTGTCCAGGCCCAGTAGTCGGCATACCGGGGGGTCGGGGTCCATATACTCCATCAGTTCCAAAATACTTTGTCACTTTTCTATCAAAGCAATTAATTTGTGATTCTGCACATGTCTCTCTCCTTTGCACAAATCTCAACCACACAGTTTTTTACTTTTTTTTATTTATTACCTACTTTGTACTATTGGCAAAGTCCACAGGAACAGAGGCAATACTTTTTATCATCTCTTTCGTACGTTTTTTCTTAACTCCTACTTTTCCTATTGTGTTCATTACTCATGCTACGTCGTTCTTAAATATTGTGACAAAGTCTACTATAAATATAAAATATATAATGATTTCTAAAACATGAGCGGAGAATATTTCTTTCAAAAAACCTTAGCATATATGGAGTATATTTGTAAAGGTAGTTTGCAAATCGAGGATATTGTCATGTTATATTGTAGAATAATGTTGTGTGTAACGGATGGTTGTTGGAGAATTTAAAGTTTGGCAACAAGGAGACAAAATAATGGATTTTATTTGCATGGATCCTGGATTCGGCATCATTTTAGGATGACAGTTACAATCCAAATCCTCCCCGGCAATTCGCGTGCCACTATCACATCACATCACACCAATAATGTCTTCCCCGGACTCCCTTCATCACTTTATCCTTCCTTTTTTGATAATTCAGGTGCCGGGGCTTACGTTCCCATAATCTTGGGGGTCTATGAACTATCTTTCAAAGCCTCTAGACAGTTAAATCCGGATCTGATCACAGTCAGCCTCGTTAGTACTGACTCCAAAGGACGAATCCAGCAGGACTTACATCACCTTTCAGGTTGCTCCTCCCACGACACGAACCCGCTACCTTCATTAGCATCCTCTCCCTTCTCAGCCGCTGAGCAACTTCGTGAAGGTAGAAAGAATCATTGGAAGCAAGACCTCCATCATCTCCCCTTGGTGAGAATTGAACCCAAGACCTCCCACAAAGGAGAGACTTGGGGGTGGATGGTCATGCATTGGACTACACCCACCTTCCCAATTTATCCTTCCTCTCAATATTGCTCTTTATTAAAACTTGTTAAACTTGATCGAATTTGACTAACAGAAAAAATAAAAAAATAAAAAAAATGTGTAGACGAGATTTGTGTAGTACAAGAATGAAATAATTGAAATTACAAATTAAAAGAGAAAAGTGACAAAATTATTTTTACATCAATAATTGTACTTTGTAATCACTGTGGAAGTTGTTCAGAGTACTACCTCTATCCCTAAATAAAAGTTCATGTTTACTTTTTGGGTCATCCATAAATAAAAGTCCATTTTTCTTTTTTGGCAAACAAAAGAGTGCACAAAGTGTCAAATAGTGTCAAACAGTGTCCAAACAATGTCAAAGAATCTCACTTTCTCGTGTAAAACAAATAGAGACTTTTATATAGGAACGAAGAAAGTAATAAAATTTCTACACAAGAAAAACAACAAGGATGCAAAAAAACTAAAAGAACCCCTAACATTGCCAATGGGTTATTTTTTGGTAAGCGGTTTATCTGCTTTGTTTTTTGCTTTCTTTTGTTTTTTGGATTTAATCTTAATTTTTCTAACGTGGTCAAATAGCTATCTGTAATGTTTGTTAATTGTTAATAACTCTTTGGTTCTTTTTTGGATTAATCTTAGTCTTTTGTCACAGTAAAGAAAAGGACAAACATAGTCACCAGTACGGACTAACGTGGTCTTTTTTGGTTCTTGTTTAGAACAAAATTATTTGTTCAGACTTTTTTGTACACACTTGTTACACATGTCGGTGAACAAACTATTTTTTGTCGGTGAGTAGCCAGTTCACAAAACATGTTTTATCCGTGAAATAGGTTATTCACCGACAAAAGTGCAGTTCATTCACCGATATGTGCAGTGTTGTGTACAAAAAAATGTAGGGAAATTATTCTAAATAGGAGTAAAAAAGTTTGCATATTTCAAAATAGAACTATCATATTTTTATTCTCCACATAGAAGTAACTACTACGGACTTCCATGTTTCGGTAGTGAAATTTCATGCCGAACTAGTAGTGAAATTTGTTTTTACTAAAATCTATAGTTTGCATACAATGTTCAGATGTATGTATAGATATTATACTACGTATATGATACAGATGTACAATATATTGCACTTCAGTTCCACAATTTAGAAGTCGCTCCTTGTCTCATCATTGGCTTCTGGTTTCATCTTAAAGCTAGGAAATGCAATTGTGATATCCCTGCACAAATTTAATCACCAGTATATAACTTTTTCATGATTGTATATTAATTAATATAATGAAATTTCAAGAGCGTTTTGAAGAGGTGAAAAGAATATATGAATTGCATGTATCCAATAAGGGAAGATGTGAAAAGAATAAAAGAATTGTATACATCAAATAAGGAACTGTCATGTTTTTCAACAAAGATGGATTCCCAGATACATAATCCTTCCACTCTTCTGCATCTATCCTTCCATCATCATTAGTGTCTGCTTCCTCAAAAGTCTTCATGAACCAAGTAGAAAAGATATAAAATGAAAAAGATTAGTGAAAAAATAACCACAGCAAGGTTCAAGACTAGAAAAAACTGTTTGAAAAGCTTAAAATAAGTAAGGTAAAGAGGACTAATTACCTTGTTGATAATAGCTTCAATAATATCATCAGGAAGTGACAATTCTGACTCATGCAGAAGTGCCACAATCATTTTCCTGACCTGATTATATATCACAGGTAGGATTTTGAATAACAATGGCATCAAAATATAATGAGAAATGTTGTTTGTACACGCCAAGTTGTACACACCAGTTTACACGCCGGTCAAATTGCGTGTGGACAAACAATTTTTTTTCGTTTTGCGAAAAACGGTTCTCTTCACTAAATGAAAAAAAAATGTTTGTGAGCAGATAATTTGACTAATGTGTAAAATGTCTTGTACAACTAGCGTGTGCATGAAGCATGGTTGTTATATAATACGGAATAATAAAGTAAAGGCTTCCATTACCCCTTGATGTTCAATGAAGCCAACATGAGATACATCATATAGTTGAAACAAAACTGCGAGAAAACGAGAAAGTATTCGTTAAATCATCCCGCATAGGCTAAATACATAAACATAAGAACTCGCATATAGTATTGTCGAGTCATCTCGCACATATGGGCTACTTTATCATGTTGACGTTTTAGTATCAAATCTCAAGTCTTAATAGTAACACGGGGTTAATGTTTTGTGAACTGATTTATGGAATGCTAGTAGTCTTCTTACAATCAGATTTCTCTTCCAAGGAAGCAGCAGGATGAAAAACACTTAAAGCACGAACAAACTCCCCGAAGTCTATCAGGTCATCGTTGTTGGAATCGAACAACTTGAACATCTGATCCAAAACCCAAAATATTCATTATAATAGTAGTATAATGGAGTTAAGAAAAGATTGAGAAATTAAGTACTGCTCTTTTTTTTACTTGCCCTGTCTGCAAAGAAAGACTGTTTCTTGCTGTTTCTAAACAGCCCAATCTGGAATTCTTCCTGCTCCAAAAAAATAAAGAAATAAAAGTCATCTTCGAAAAAAATAGCAGTCTAAGTGGTATGAAGTAATCAAACTATCAAAACAAAACAAAAAAAAAACAGTTGAATTCTACTTTACTGATAAAGCCATCATCTTTAACAGAACTGCTTATTTTGCTGAAAAGTTCAAACAGGGCCTTCACTTCTTTCGCTGTAACTGCAAATACAAAAAAGTATGCATGTCTTTATCCTCTCAAAACAGAAGTATTTCAAACAAAACTTCCAAAGAAAAAGGCTAAAACATGGGGAGTTTTGATATTTACAATGTGTTTGTGCTGATAGAGTGGCAGGATCTTCATAACCTCTTTGTATTAGCCTGATACAAAAACAACCCATTTTCATTTATGTACTAGCACTACTATTTCAATCCTCACAGACTTCACAGTAGCTATATACTCTCATATTCTGGGCAGGGAGAGTGAGAGAGAGAGAGAATATATACGTTATTCTTTCTTATGCAAATTCTGAGGTAGTTTCTAGTTTGTACAAGTTGAGGATTTGGCGTAGTTGTGTTTGGAATCAGGTTCTCTGTAATGGGCAGAAGGCTCTACTGACTATGATCGGTGGAATTTCAATTAAGAATGAGATCAGAAAGAAAAAAGGGATCAGTTGTAGGCGAGTCTACTGATTTTGCTTGAGAAGTCAGAAGTCAGCTCCCTAATTAGGGAGAAATTAGGGATTTACTTGCGGGCATTACTTTATTTAGGATTTTAAACTTTAATCAACTCCCGTGTAAGACCTGCTTTTTTACTGTCGGTTTGGATTTAAATTAAGTGAAAACTCCGGTACCTTTCTAAAAAATAGGGTACCGTACCTACCATTCATTTGATTGGATCACACCACTTTATAATTTTTAATTTAGATTTAAATAATTCAACTGCTACATTCTCATTGGTCCATGTGGATAAATGTATGGTACCTTATGGTACCATAGAATCTACCATTAAATTAAGGGCATTCACAACTCACAAGTCACAACCGATAGTGTTGAGAAGTTTCATTTAAGTTTGGACACTCCTTCTAAAAGTTGAAAATAAGGATTAAAAGTAGATCTAAATGCAATAATATAGGATTATGATCTTCTTATTTCCAAAATAGGATTAATATATGTCCCTTCTTCTTATGAGTAGTAAAAAATTCTTTGTCATAGAGCGGAGAGGTCATAGCTAGGGTTCCCCAGCTTACGAAGTAGCTTTGGGTCCAGTGGCTTCCACTGTCCCGAGATTGAAGGGGATCATTTGTTTAGGCAACGCGAGATCGACAAGGCACGCAACAATGCTTCAAGCGAGGCGAAGGAAGCGACGGACGACCGACATAGGGATGGACGTCACGGGAGGGCTAAACAGGGTCTTCCACGAAGTGTCAGGTAGCTTGGTTGACGGCGGTGGTGATTCTCCACAACGGCAAGGTTCTGGTTGCTCGGGAAGACGAAAGCAGGAAAAGGTGGGAGCGAAATACTATGCCAATCATAAGGAAGGTGGAAGATACAGGATCAGCAAAAATTCAGGGCTTGTGACGATGACCTTTTACAAACGGGCCAGATTAAGGGATTGAGTGGAAGATTTTGCTTGATGGGCATAGAGAATTCCAGATTCAGGTGGTGGAGGAAGAAGATGAAGTGTTGATGATCTGTCCCCCTCCAGAACCGCCACCATGGAGAATGACGCTTGAAGTATGGATTCGGTTACTCCATCAGATTATTTTATTTAATTCTGTTTTACTCTGTTTTTCAATTATGAACTATGTTGTTAATGTTAATTCGAACACTAAGGGGAGTAGGGTTGTTCTTAGTTTATTTCATTAGATAGGTTTGTATTGAGAGGCAATCAGGCCGACTCAGTCGCTAATAGCCTCTTTGCTCTCACTGTTCCATCGATTAGTCTCGCTCTATCCGAGGTGGACTATTTTATGTTTGATCATGACGTGAGGGACCGATGGACTTTTGGTATTGTTTGGAGAGAGGGAGATGTAGGTCTTGGGACACGTTTATTGCTTTGGTTCGTTTGATTTTAATATAAGGTGTTTCCTTTCAAAAAATAAAAGTCCATTCTTCTTATTCTACCCCCTTCTTATTATTTTTAATAGATTTATTTTATTAATAAGAAAATCATGATTTTATTTATACTAAAGATATAAAGATATTAAAAATATTTATAAATTAATAATAATAACGGGAAAATAAAATAAAATAAGTAAATAAATAAATAAATAATACTTCAAAACTTGGAAAATCTAAAAAATAAAATACCTAATACTATTAAAAAATATGTAGGCCACTACGATTGCATCCCCCACCTCCCAGCACCACCAGCTTTGATCACCGGAAAAATGACATCTTATGTAGAAATGCTACATTCCTCTGAAAATGTCATTAAGATGACATTTTTACTCTTTAAAAATATACATCATTCTTTTTAAAATTGCCATCACGATGTATTGAGAAACATAGCAGAGTATTTAGAAGAATGAAGTATGAGCCTATTAAGTCTAATTTTATCTCATTACAATGTATTTATAGAAAGAGTAGCGTTATATCTACCTAACTAACTGAAAGTAACAATGCTAGTAGTATTTAGTTAGTTAGGTATTCTATATACAATAAGATATATTCCTGATATTATCCCCTCAAACTCGGTGTGATTTAGTTAGAATTTCAACAATACTGAGTTTGGTCTTAATTCAAGAAATCTAGAGCTAGAGAGTGGTTTACTCTGGACATCAGCAATTTGATAGGGAGCCGGAAAGTGTAAAACATGAAGTTTCTAATGAAAGATCTTCTCATGAACAAAGTACATGTCAAGTTTCATGTGTTTAATTCTAGAGTGAAAACAAGATTATGTGCTAGGTGGACAATACTGTGATTATCACAATAGATTTGAGGAACATAAAATGGAACTCGGATCTCTTAATGTAGGTACCGAAGCCATAAAATCTCAGGTGTAGTTTCAGCTACGTTGATATATTCAACTTCACCTGAAGATCATGCAACACAAATCTCATTTATGGACCACCAAGAAATTAGATTAGGTCCTAAGAATACGCAAGAGTCAAATGTTGATATTTTATCATTAGGATCTGAAGCCCAATCAGCATCACAAAAGGCTATGAGTTGAATATGTGAACTTGAAAGACCTAGTTTGAGAACAAGGCCATGTTTAAGTGTACCTGAAAGGTACCTTAGGATACGTCTCACTGCCTTCTAATGTTCTTCAAAGGGTGAGGTCATAATTTGACAAATTTTATTAACTGCATTACCGATTTCGGGCCTTGTTAAGGTGACATATTGAAGAGCTCCCAAAATAGATGTGTAGTGAGTGGGATCAGTCATATGATTCCCCCTTCTTGGAGAAGTTTTCAATTGCTAAGCATAGGTGTTGAAATTCCTTTAGAGTTTATCATATCAGCTCTATCCAGAAGATCTCTCACATATTTTGTTTGAGAAAGATGTAAACTACCATCCATGGGCGGATCATGGTGAGGGCAAGGGTGGGCACCAGCCCAGCCCAATTTTTTTTTTTTTATTAGTATAGGTAAAGGTTTAATGCACACCTCACCCCAAAATTAATGTCCAACCTACCCAAAAACTAGATGAAAAATCCACTAATAATATTACTTGAAAAGTGATGGACCAAAATATGACTTAGTAACTTTTAGTGATTATAATTGTATTTAAAGTTACTATGGTGTAGTTAATGTGATGTAAAGTTTTAAACACAATTGTAGTCACTAAAAGATACTAAGTCACAATTTTGTCCATTACTTTTCATTAGTAATATTTTACGAAAAAGTACGAAGTCACATTTTTGTCTATTACTCCCTTCATCCCGCTAAGATTGTCCCATTTTACCTTTTCGGGAAATCCCACTAAGATTGTCCCATACCAAATTTGGTAAAATTTGTGTGGCTCTAAATGATATTTACTTTATTCTTACTTTATCAATTTAATATCAACCACACAAACCCACTTTTCTTAATAATCGTGCCACCTTCTCTTGTCCCAATCTTAGTGGGACAGAGGTAGTATTTTTTATTAGTAATATTTTATAAATAATGATTAAAGAATGATTTATTTATTATATTGAAGGTTAGAAAATGATTTACTTATATTGTGAACATGTAAGAAAGAATTAAAATTTCAATTAAATATTAAAATTGGGAATACTTTTAATTCATATAAATATTTAAAAATATAGAATGGATAATGAACATATAGCCATGAAAGAAAATGAAATGAATATTTACCTAGCTACTAGTTAGTATGAAATTGAGCTCGAGTTAAGCTTTATAGATTTTCGGTGTTCGATTGTCTTTCTTGGCAATATGTTCATTATTCATTCTATAAAAACATTTTTAATATTTATATGAATTGGCAATATGTTCTTGATAAACATGCTTGAATGTAGAAGTTTAGACTATACTCGTTAATAGATTTGTGTTTGAATTATAGGGCAGAAGTTTATACCGTTCGTTAATTTAAACCCTATCTGACATTTATATCGCTAAAAACGTTTAAATTTTAAGATATATAGAATTTATTCCTATAATTTACTCTGTAAAAGTGAACGATAGGCTCGAGTCCGAATTGAACCAAACATCACTATATTCGGACTCGGCTTGAATAACTATTCAAACTCAAAACCTAGTTCGTGTTCGAGTTCAAAGCTTATTAAACTCGAGTCATTAAATTAGATTCTAAATAAAGCTCAAACTCGAGTATATAAATAGAAAAAAGTTTGATTTGATAACAGGCCTGAGCTAAACCGTGTATGTATAGTAAAAAAAATTACTGCTTAGCTCATCCCACCTCTCAATCCTGGATCCGCCCCTGCTACCGTCAAATAGTTTTTGAGCTTCTATTCCCATAAAGTAATCAAGATCTCCCAAATGCTTAAGAGAGAATTGAAATTAGAATTCAATTTTTAAATAAGTTGTTGAACAACAATATTGTTGTTTATAATAATAAGAATATCATCAACATAGATCATCACATAGAGCTGCAGTGAGTTTAAGAAACCAAGCTCTGAGAGCATGTTTTAATCATATAAAGCTTTATTGAGTTCGCAAACAAGAGACTGATCAGAAGCTTGAAACCATGGGTGTTGAACCATATGAACTTATTCTTTAAGATCACCATTTAAAAGGGAATTATTAACATCAAGTTGTTGAATAGATCAAGAATTAGAAACAACAATAAAGAGTAAAGTTCTAATAGTAACAGCTTTAACAATTGGTGAAATGGTTTCACTGAAATGAAAACCATGTTGTAGATGAAATTTTTTTGTTACTAAACGAGCTTTGAATTTATTAATAGAGTCATCAAGATTTTCCTTTAGTCTAAAAACCCATTTTCATCCAATAGCATGATTGCATAGCTTTATATCATTTGGGTGAAC